AAAAAAAAAAAAAAAAAAAAAATATTTCAATCATTGGAAGGGTTTCCCATGCTGTATTAACTGCTCATGATTTCTTTGTGTTAGGTAAAGCGAGTTTTTTCTCAGTATGATTTTGTCATACCTCCTCTTTTGCGTGGTGTGAGTTTAATACTTTAGTATTAACCGCTGTGAATGTCAAATTTTAAGATATTCTTAACGAAACCATTTTTATATTCGCATCTCTATTTTTGTATATTATCATATTTAGCCCCTTCTCCCGTCAGCCTCACCACAGTGATTTTGACAGGGCAAGTATATAATCAAGTGAAAACATTATTTGTGTAGGTTGAGGGGCGACCTAGGGTATTATTAATTCCTCTTTGACTCCAGTGCAGTGTTTTGAATTTGCCTTGGCTGCAGTAGAGCTCACAGTATACCTGATCTTAGATGGCATTATGCATTCACACCTTCTTTTGACATCAAATCCACTGAAGGTGCTCGATGCCTTCAAAGACCTGGCCCTCTGAGCCCCCTCTCTCAGAACAAAGGGACTGAGGAGCTTCTGCCTCCCGGCCTTTGGGCACAGTATGGGCGTAACAACGCTTCAGAGGTGCAGTTGGGGTGTTACTGTTCTCTGTTGCTTGTTAGCCAGCCAGTTTCAACTAAAAAAGAAAGAATCTGAAGATGTGGCATGGGCTTTAATTCGTGCGTTGACAGAATTAGTGACAAGTAATTCTTGCTAGTGCTGTCGCTCTTGGTTTCAGCTCCAAGGAAAACCACAGCATTGGGATTCCAGCTGTATTAAAGGGTCTTTCTAGTAGTCCAAGATACCTGAGGAAACTTTAAAAAGCTTTAGTGGTCTCCAGGCTATTGCAGTTGATCCCTGGATCTGGCGTACTAAGGTGGGTTTTTGTTTTGCCCAGCTTCATTCTAGGTATCTAGGAATCGTGGTAGCTGTTCTTCTGGCTCTTCCCTTGCTGGTGAAGAAGCTTGTTTGTGTTCTCCAGCAGGATGGATGTTGAGGAGGGTATTGTGAACTATAAGGGAACTCGAAACCATTTATATGAAGGGGGGGAGGGCGGGTGTGTCGGGGCAGGGGGTGTTGAGGCTGGCACACCGATGAGAATTTAGAAACTTCTCTGTTTACATTTTTTCATGTGCAGCATTCCGTGTGGGGTTCACATGTGGAAACTTGCACTAATGAACTCAGAAGAATATTGCATTGTTGTATCTCAGTCCAAGTGCTTGTACTGCGATGGCAATGGTCTCTTCTTGCAAAATACTTTTTTCAGTGTGCCAATTTCTGTTTGAAAAACTCTCAAGGTGGTTGAGCTTAAGGAGTGGTATCCTCTTTCTGGTGCGTTGGCCTGCCTCCCTGAGGCTTCCTCTTGGAGGGGACTTCCTGCAGGTAAATTCCTAAGTGTGTTAATTCCAGCGAGGGTTCTGCAGAAGAAAAATATTCTCTGTGTGTGGATCATGCTGCCTGCCTTCTCTGCTAGTTTATGCCAATGCATAACTCACCCGAACTCAATGGGGTGCACGTATAATTCAGTGTAGGATTTGATCAAGTCTTTTTGATACCTGCGTTTCCATTTGTGCATCAGATATTTTGAGTGGTTTGCTTCTGGGGGGTTCACATGAAGAGGAGCAAAGTGGACAGACTCTGGTTTTCCACTGAAGGTCACCAGCATAGAGAGCAGACTGTTTCTCGTCTGGACTAACCTAACCAAAGAATTTATTTACTGGGAACTGTGATCTGCCTTTGCAAGTACATGTATTTTCTTAGTAAATCTAGAGTAAAATTTTGAAAGAGTTGATGATCTGTGAAGCTCCTTTGGGGCAGATCTCCAAATTACAGAAGCACTGATGCAACTAGTACACACACCTGATACGTTCCCGGTGGATAAACTATAGAGACTGATTTGAATGTTGGGACTGAACAGTTCCTCTCTGTTCCTCTCTGCTGCTGAGCCAGTCATGATTCATATTCTCCCTTTCCTTCAGTGAGGATCATGCTTTCTCCCACTTCTTCTGTTAGGACTGCAGATAACGGACAGATGGCAGTTCAGGGGATCGTTATGCTGAAGTGGGTTTGTAGCATTAGCACCCAAGTGGTCTCACATCAGGGAAGCTGCTCCTTGTCTTTTAAACTAAGCACAAATGTCTGTCTTACACCATCGAGTACATACACAGTGAGGTATCAACAGGAGTAATCTTTGTGCACTTTTTCCCCTGTGTAGATACCTGAGGAGTGTTCTTAGCTGGCTGGCTGGTGATGGAAATAGCTGGCCATGCTCAATTGGGAAAGGAATAGCCCTTTGTAGTTTAAGAAAAAAACCTAATACAGCACAATTTATTGAAAACTAGATCAACATGCATGATCAACAGGAGCATAGCATGTTTAAATGGCAACATTCATGAGACCTAATCTTGCCTTTTAAAATCACACCTGCCGTGTCATGCTGCATCCTTCCTAAGGAGCACGGCTCATTTCTCCACTGCTTTTGGATACCAAGATACTTCTTTGAAAAGAACTTTAGAGATGATAAAATGGAACGTGCACATAGCATTTGCATTTGAAATAAAGAACGGTTTCCATGAATATAAATTCATGCAACCTGTGAATATATATTAAATGAAATATTTACAGTAATGCAAAACATGCAAATGAGCCGGTTGATATCAAAGGATTCATTTTGCTGTGAGTTGTAACTTTCAGTATTGTAAATTCCAGGTTACTGCCATAACATTTTCCCCCCGTGCACATACAGGTATGCGGGTGCACGTGTCTTTGATAATGTGAATTTACCCAAAGTTAATCACTTTCTCCCTTGTGCGTAGACGTTCGTACACCCCCACTGGCAGATTCAGCCTCCCCACCTGTCAGAGTGCTGATGTTGGATGCTAAGATGAAGAAAAGGCCACTGTCTTGAATATTGAGTATTTCCATTCCTTATTGCTTGACAAATCTCCTTGAATTAATTGATTACCTCCATTCTGGGGAAAACTGCTTAAACTACAGAACTCCCTGGTCATGCTTGCTGTTGGATCAAATGACTTCTTCAAAATATCTCCTAAGAAGTAATCAGTCACTCTCTTTCCTGACATTTTTGTCTTGAGCGTGTTTGTCACACAGCATTGTTAGGGACAGAATCTGCTTTTGAATGTGTACTGTGCCATTAGCAGATTTCTTATTATTTCTACAACAACAACAACAACAACAAAAAAAAAGCTGGTTCGTTTGGTCCATTAAAAATAATTTTAACACTGTTATGCAGAAATTGCTTTCTTAGCCATGAGATTGCTTTAAGTGCATTTTGATGGGGTTATTGCTTGAAAATTAACCTTTAACTTAATTGGCAGGTGACAGGTACACCTTGAAAAGAAGTTAGGAATGACCTAATAGCTTGAAAATGGCTGTAAAGCATGCTATTTCTCTCTAAAAGAAAGTCAAATAAAATACAGGAGTGATCCAAACAGGACAATTTTCTTTCCATCTTTTAAAAAGGACAGATCAGTGGGTGATGCCAGCGCGTTTACAGCATTTATAGGGACTGGGTGATCCTCTCCAAAACTGTGTGGGGGCAGAGTAAGCAAACGGTCCATATTCAATTCAGGCCAGAGATCGTCTTAGCATCACGCAGCATGATTGTTATGATGACACTATTGGAGATCAGTCTTGTTCCCCTCTTTTAAATGAACAAGGAAGGGCTTTGAAGTCCTGATTAAAATGGCTGTAGCCTTAAGCCAGGCAGTTAAGAGTCAGCAAATGAAAGTGTCTTTTTGTAAAGAGGATACCACCAGGCTTAAGCTGAACTAGCCTTGTTTGCAAGTGAAGGATCTGGTGCTGCTTTCAGAGTTGTTTTTTTTTAATCTTGTTTTTGTTTTTTGTTTTGTTTGTTCTTTTTTTGTAAGCTTTAATCACTGTTTGTCATTGTCTTAAAGCCAGCTGGTGTCTCTTGTTCATCAACTTTGGTACGATGGTGCTTTGCAAGGATGTATTTATATTATAATGACCAACATTTGGTCAGCCCTATTCACTCATTCACTAACTTTTTTTTTTTTTTTTTGTAAAATAAAGTGCTTTACTTGTAAGGTGTATATAAACCCTGTACAAAAATCCTTTCCAATTATTACTATAAACTGAGTTGTAACAAATGAAATGTTGATTTTTATAATAAAACTAAGAGTGAAAAAGGAGAGGAACTCTTCATTTTATTTCATCATCTGGAGGACAGGTAATTAAAGGTAAAAGTCCATGTGTGTCTTTGCTCTCCATAACAGCCAGAATGTGCTGTTTTCTGATGCTGTAGGCAGGCTCTGCAAACACTCATGCATTTGCCTGAAACACATCGTTGACTTCGAGCAGTTCTGTTGATTTCTGTTCTGAAATACATTTTAAAGTTAAGTCTCCATTATTGATCACTTAGATTGGTTTACAGGATAATACAAACTGGACGATTTTATCGGATAAATCCTTATCAGACTAGAGATACCTGGTGACAATTTTGGAGACTGCTGGTCTTTAAATCTGTATCAAAATGTTCACAGTGAGAGAAGTGTTTAAAATGTAAACAAAATTCCCACCCCTGATCCTTTTTCTGTTAGGAAGCAGGTCTGAATTTATAAGCTCAGCACAGGAATTTCCACTCCACTTGCATCTGCTGGTTGTGGAAATAAATATGACTTTGTATTGGTGTGGATCTGACTCTACTAAGGTTCTTTTTTACAGCTCCAGGTTTTTTACATGAGGCATGGACAAGCCGTGTATCACTGCCCATATCAGTAAGACAGGGCCTACATTTATTGGTCTCACAAAATGTTGTAAAAATAAATGCTACTCAGCTGGTGTGCCATGCTTATTTTATTTCAAGGTGCTGTATTTATTCTACCTTGGCAAATGAACCATCAGTGCTGGGTGTTGTGTTTTTCTCTA